GGTTATATACACAAAATCATGCACGTTGACTTTGAGCAATTTAAAGCATTTTCAAAGACACTATAAATTATTAATCTTTGCTGCTGATTTAGATCCCAACCCTATAAATGCTAATTTCCCTCTTATTCTCTTCTTTACTGATGATATATTATTGATGGGAAAAGAAGTTTTATCCTCAGACTGCCTTCAATAGGTTCTGACCCTCTTTTTCTAGTTGACTAATCTGTTCTATAAATATTAACTAAGCTCTTATTATGGGAGGAACAAAAGGAATATAGAGATGAATAAGAAATTATTCCTTCCTTAAAGCGTCTTGGGCTTTGGTTAATCACAGGCCAGTAATACACATTGTTAGAATACACAGTTATACCCTATGACAAAGAGATTTATAGGTTGAAGAGTATCAGGATTAAGTCAGGTTGGTCAACACTTTGCCCAGTTTAAATGCACTCAACATACTTCTAGGCATGGTCAAACATTTTCCCTCTTGGCACCACCTTTGTTTCTTTCTCATTTGTTTCCTTCTGGGTTTCAAAACTCACACACGCCTTCCCAATCTTCAAAGGTGCTAATCTTCTCTATAAACCCAACGTTCACCTGCATCTGGGTCAGGGGCTCCCGTTCCTGGCCCCTCACCACAAAATCTCCATCTGCTTTTCAATAGAACCCACTAGGCTTCTACTATACATTCCCAAATGACATGAAATGCACATTCTGGCCTTAGTTTGAAGTATCTTGAAAACAAAACCATTCCTCTGAAGAAATCATAACCTACTGTTAACTGGGTACATTAATGCTGGCGTCCCTTATTAAGTGCCTAACAAGGCACTGAAAATGGTATTATGAGAAGGTACAACCAAAGGTCACAAACTGATAGTTTTGTTTGCATAATGTTTTAAAAATCTGGTAACTGAAAAATAATCAGCAAGATATCTGGGTTTTCCAAAAGAACCTGAAGATCAGGCAATACTGGGTCCACACTCACTCATAACAACAGACTGGCACAGGTGGCAGGTGTCTCTTTTCAACAGGGCATAAGCTCTCAAGTGTATGACAGTTCTCCTGAAAGGTCTCATGACCATCAAGGACCTGTACTATAGGTGCTATGTGCCTGGACCTCATGCTGGCATTCAAGGAACACAGCAGTAAGCAAGGATCTCTCATACCTCTCCTCTTTCCCACCGTAATCCTTCAGCAGTCTTTCCTGCTGGGACTGAACCCAGCCGCAGAATCTTCTTGAACATGACAGCTCCAGGCAGCCCCTATCAATTGACTGGCAATATTAGCAACACAGATAAAATAAAATTCTATTTTATTTTATAAATAAAATAGAGATCAAATCTGCATTCCTATTTTGACTGTCTTCATTTAGGTCCCACATTGTATAACATTTGTTTTTCACATTTTTTTCTCTGCTTTTGATTTGATACTTGCTATTAATGGTTCTCACATTATTTCCTGTTTGTACATATTGTCTTCTCCAAGTACTGAGACTCTGCCTTTTATTTATCTCAGAGCACCCACTGCAATGACTCACATACAGTAGGCACTCAAAGTGTTCTGAATGTACCCGAGACAAATGTATGGTATTCATGGAAAGATCTAAAGTTAAAAAAAAACAAAAAACTGCCCTTGTTTCTGATTATGGTTTAGACCAGGGGTCAGTAAACTTCTTCTGTAAAGAGCCAGATAGTAAATATTGTAAGCTTTGTGGGCCAGATGGTCCCTGATGCAACTACTCAACTCTGCCATTATAGTGTATAGCACCCACAGACAGTATGTAAATGAATGAGTGTCTATATTCCAATAAAACCTTATTTATGGACACTGAAATCTGAATTTTATATCATTTTCATTTCACAAGATATTATTCTTCTCATTTTTTTCCCAACTAATGAAAATGTAAATTAAATGTGAAGTAAAGAATGTAAAAAACCATTCTTAGCTTGCAGGAGGCAAGCTGGATTTGGCCCAAGTGCCATAGTTTACTGACCTCTAGCTTAGATCTGGGGTTCTCAAAGTGAGAACTTCTGGTGGTCTGCAAGATCCTTTCAGCAAGTCCAACTACCTATGTGTGAGGCCAGATTTTCTCTGTATACTTCAACTAAAACAATGTACCACAAGAGATTGAATGCAGAAGCACGTATGAGGATCCAGCTGCCTTCTATTAAGCCAGAAATTGAAGAGATTTGTAAAAATGTAAAACAATGCCACTCTTCTTACTATTTTTTCTTTATGTTTGGAAAATATGTAGTTATATTTCATAATCCTCTTTATGATAAATGTAATGGGTTTATTATTGATTTTTAAAACGGATTAATATTTTTTAAATTCCTCAGTTTTGATTTCTAATGATAAATGTCAATAGCTATAACCCACGTAAACAAAAGCTCTCTGGGGCCCTCAGTAAATTTTGAGAATGTAAAAGGATCTTGAGACCAGACAGTCCGAGAACAGGCTGCTGAGCCACAGCTGGGTTAACTTACTCCTGCGGGCGGAGTGCGCTTGGGCAGCATGGCGAGCAGTGCCTCAGGTCGCCCCACAGACAGACCACCTGATTTCAGTCTCCATCTTGACTTCTCTCCACCTAAGAGCTTCCTGGCATTTCTTTGATTAGATCCTAATTTGGTAAAATTTAATCCCACGCAATTCATGTTCTCATATAACAAAGTAGGTGAAAACGTGGTAGTTATTTTCATGAAAGAACCCTTCAGATATGTGCAGACCATATAAACACTTAAGCTTTTACTTTGCCAAAATAGGCAGCTTGAAATAAGTCTCTCTCCTTGGCTTGTATTTTCCAATCCTTAAAAAAAATTGTTATTGTAATTTCTTGCCTTTGGAACATATCTCAAAACAAAAAGATTCACTGGCTCCTTTAAAAATCATAGTACCTTTGACTTGGCTCCATAGAAATTGTGAGAGCCCAATACTAATCAGCATCCTCATAGCAGCATTAAATCTAAAGAAATAAAATCCACTAGAGATGGTGCAAGTTTAATTGATAGTACTAATAATAATGCACTAAAAATTACATTTTGCAAGTAAGGTATACACATCTTATAGAGCATCTTAATAGAGCATTAGTATTTTGCTTGTTCTGCCATTTGAGATTTAAAAACTTTTTAAAAGAATACTTTAGGAGAAATAAAAAGGAAAGTTGTCTTAATTCCAGTGTTATCATATATAGGGAAACGTTGTATAAGGAAGCGTTTCTTTCAATATAAATTTATTTTATAAGTTTATAAGTTTAACTGTCTATCCAAATGATGTGTACTGCTGGCCTGGGGGAACTTTTTCCCCCTCATTTTAGAGAGAATTGAAGAAACAACAACCATGATTCCAACATTTATCATTTTGTTGAATTATATATTCTTATTTAGAAAGTGTTTCCCTATGAGTATATGATTCTAAAAATCTTTATCATTTTCCCTTATGAAATAATAACTTTGTAAACAATAACAAAGGAGGAAGACATTTATATTTTTGGATATTTATCCTTCAATCTTTATTATAAAATACCTAAAAAAATCAGGAACTACGATCAGATGGTAAATCTGCTATAATTTGTGATTACTGACTTCAAGTAGTAAAATAAAATACATTTGGCTATTTTGACCAAAACCCAAATTGAAAATCACCAGCGTCTTTAAGATTAGAAAGCCACTAGCAAATTATTACCTGTTTTGAGAATTATTACCCATCTGGGAGAATAGTGCAAATTATATTAGAAAGATTTTGGTAGCTGTGATGTTCAGTGAACAAAAAATAGACTTAAAATGTGGGAAAAATGCTTACTGTTTGAATCCACAGTAAAAGCAAGAGTCCCATCATGATTGCAAAACATTCCAAATTGTGAAACTTAAGTTATTTGTAAAATAGACAAAAGTAAAGCAGCTTCCTCTGTCATTTTTTGAGATCTCAGCATCAATTTAAAGAAAATGCTTATATTTAAAAGAAAGCCTATTTCAAAATACGAATTCCTACACTGAGTACAAATATGGGCATGAAGTAAATTCATATCTCAAATCACCCGACATTCCTGTTCCACATGTACGCAAATGAAGGTGATGTGAAACTAAAGTTAAAAAAAAAAGTTATTTGCTTCACTATTCAACTCTTTAAGGAATAAAAGATCCTCGAGCCTAAAAGAAAGAATGACGATGCTAATGTAAAAACAAACAAATTATATAAAATTGTTATGTGGATTACACGGAAAAAGAGGAAAAGAAAAGATATATGTACTTCACTGTGTAGAAAAGATATACTTCTGTCAAATACTGTCTACAAAATTTTTTTGTCTAATAAATAATTTTTCCCATTCTCATTTTTAAATCAAAATTATGTTCAGTAAAAAACCTGACTATAATATATATGCTGACTGACAAATAATAATGTACAACTGAAATTTGAAGGTTATAAACTATTATGACCTCAATAAAAATTTTTAAAAACTTGAATATAATAAAGTTTATTAGGAAGATAATAAATTTTAAAAACACACAGAATTTATACTATCACAAAGATAGACGAGATCGAGAGGATTTGGTCCACATTTGAGAAGAAAAAAATAGTCTGAGAAAATATTGCTACTACTCCTCCAAAGCAGCAGAACTAGAATCAAAGTAGTTACTTTAAAAGCTTGGCACAGCAGTTTAAAATTTGAACACCACCATTGTTATTTTAATAAAATAGTTTTCAGTTTTATTTTGTTTTCCCAATTCCCCTCTCCAGCAGTGGGACAATACAGTGTAACTTTCTCCAGCTGCTGGGGAATTTTCTTAGCACTTTGTGGAAACTGTTGGCTTTCAGAAATGGACAGGCTGATTTGAACCAAAAGTTAGACAAAATACAAAATTGCAACAACAATAAAAAGTAATTTAGAAAGAGGATCAAGCCAAGCAGATAAGCAAACTTTATAAATCAGTTTTCTGGGACTGGTCATCAAGTCAGTTCCCTAATTTCAAAAAGCCAAACCAAAGCAAAGCATGCTGACTTACATTGCTTCTTTAATTCTTTCAGCTGTTGTTTAAATTGTACAAATTTTTCATTATTTTGAAAGTCTGCATCAGAATTCTTATTCTGTAAAGCCAAAAATTTCTTCTCCACTAATAATTTTAGATCTGGTATTTTTTCTGGACGTTCTTCTTTTACCTGAGGAAGACGATAACATTACGTTAGTTAAATGTTAACAATAATACAGTTTTGTAACATTATTTTTATCTCATTTCATCCAAATAAAAATACTATAATGAGGTAGAAAACAGACTTCCCCTAACAGAGAACCAGAGAGGTTGGGACTTGTTCCCGAACAGACAGCTAGTAAATAGTGGAGGCAATCATTCATCCCATCTATTCTTTACTTGCTTACACTATCCCTTCAATACCCTGCTAACTTGCTGTCTCTTGATAATAACTGGAGAAAAATCTCACACCAGTGCTACTGTGTCCTCCAACTTCACCAGAACCGGAGCATCAATGGCTTCTTCCTTTTATCCAGGTCTGCTCAGTCTCCTCCCCTGCAACCCAAGTGGTTATTCCATCCTTCATTCTCTTCAACTCTCCTCTTCTCTGGCCCCCTGCCCCAGCAGGTAAGAGTAGTTCCTACTTCACAAAAGAAGGGGAGAGTTCATACTTGAACTTCCACCATCTGCTGCCACAACAAGGAATAAGGCAACTCTCAATCTATATCCTTTTCTTCCCCCCAATATTTTATTATAAAATTTTCAAACATGCAAAAAGGTTGAAAGAATGGTATTTTACCATTGATCTACCTCCTAGATGCCACAATTAACTTTTTGCTGTTTGCTTTATCACACATCCATCCACTATCTGTCCCTCTATCCATCCTCAGTCTTATTTTTAAGTTTGTTCTTAATCCCATCTTCTTCCTCTCCTTCAGAACAAACTTCCCCTTTCCATATGCTCTTTCCCCCAAAAATCGTTAAATTGGCTCTTTACTTCCATATTTTAAAACAAACAACTTTTTATAATCCCTGCCCTCTCCCCTCGGTTATTTTCTCTTTGTAGTCCAGCTCCTTGGAAAAAAATCATCTGTACCCAGTTTCTACTTCCTCATCCTCAAATTTTAGCCACTACCATCAAGCTCTGGCCTCAACACTTCACTGCAATTGCTCTTCTTCTTCTTCATAAATGGTCCCTTGAATCAGTGGCCTTTTCCTGATGCTCCTGCCACCAAACAAAATTCACCAAACTCTCCCTTGTGCTCCAATACGCCTTCGACAGATTTCTACCACAGCCCCAGTAATATTCAATTGCACTTACTTTTATATGTCTCTGTCCCCTAGTAAAACGTAAACTCATTGAAAGGTGTCTGATTTATCACTGGGTGGTGAGCACACAGTAGGTAGTACCCCAATATATGTGTTTCAAACAAATTAATCTTACTAGTTCCAGATACAGTTATCCACTAAAACCTATAATTTATCTACTGTTATTATTAGTAGTAGAGCATACAGTGTAATTTCTGAGTGAGAAGACAACTTAGAGATCATCTAATCTTTTTTTTATAATTTTATTTATTTATTTTTTCCACCAAAGCCCCAGTAGATAGTTGCATGTCATAGCTGCACATCCTTCTAGTTGCTGTATGTGGGATGCGGCCTCAGCATGGCCGGAGAAGCTGTGCGTCGGTGTGTACCCGGGATCCGAACCCGGGCCGCCAGTAGCGGAGCGCGCGCACTTAACCGCTAAGCCACGGGGCCAGCCTGAAAGATCATCTAATCTTGATCTCCACCTTCCTTGGTTTCATAAATAAATAAAATAATATGGAAAGAAGTTGACTGACTTATCTACTATTATCCAGTTAGAGGCAATACTAAGACTACAAGACAGACACAGAAAATTCTTCGTTTTGGTTCTAGTCAGTGGGATATATTTCTGATCTCCTTGAATCTAAGTATCAATGCATGTGAAGGCAAAAGGTTATCCACAATTTATCTACTTGATTACTCTTTGCTATGGAGAAAAGAATTATATATAATCTTTTTCTTAATTGCTATGTGTTTTTATCAGCTAATCAAAAAATGAAAATTAAGCATGAAATTAAAATGCTTAAATTTATATTATAGTACAGAGTGTAGGAATTGACTGTCTTATTGTATTGATGATACTCAACAGGTGGTGGATCTACCATCAAAGAGAGTTGTGAAAAACACAGAGAGGCTTTAATGACAAGTCTGATATGTAATCAAAAATTTAAAATAAGTCCAGTAAGGCTAAAGAACAAATAAAGCTCAGTTTGGAAAAGATAAGGTAGAAAGGAAATTTAATAACGCCTTAACGTCTCAAGAGTAAGAACTATTAGCCATGAGGACTAGATACTCCCTACCTCTACACTGGACAGAACAAAATAAGTTCAAGATCATAGCATGAAGAGTTCAGAGTAGATATAGAAAATAAATTATGAGTTCTTAGAAAAGAATGATAGGCTCTCTTTCTGGATTTACAAAACAAAATTGACTCACATCCACCTGAGATGTTAATGGTATTACAGGCAGGCATACAGATGAACCTTCTCAAGGTCTTTAATGAGTCTGAAATTATTATTTAATCTGGGGTAATCAGAAAAGATCTGATCTGAGCGGATGATCAGCAAACACAAATGTTCTTTTCCAACGAAGGCTCTAACTGACTCAACATAATTAATTTCCTTGGCTCAACTCAGATAGGTAGCTAGATAGACATGAGTGGCGGATCATAGCTGGAGAACTGGCTGCATCAGTGGAGTGTCGTACTGGCATCCAGACATGAGCCAGGAATCACAGCTAGAGACCCTGCTACATCAGTGAAGTGACTTGCTGGCACAGCACCAGAGTCTGAGACCTTCAACCACCATGATAAAAGTAACAAGTGCTCAAAACAAAGCCTTCTGCTATACACCTCTAGAGGACATTGACCTTTCTTTAATTTACATACAAATTAAATATGCATTAGCCCCCCTTCCTCGGGGGATGACTGCTATGACAGATCCGGAGACTCCCCTAAAAGGTCAAGAACTCCCCCTCCCGACGTGTAGGTGGAGGAAAAACCATTATCGGTGGATAACCAGATAATGCAAATTCCCTCTAAACAGCTCAAATAAAAATAAAACTAACCCAAGGACCAGGACAGATGCGTTCTCTGGCACTGCCCACTCCTCACTTGGAGTGTATCTGACCTTTCTTCTAATAAATCACTGCTTGCTTGCTTTTGTGTTGGTGTCTGAATTCCTCTCTTATGCTGACCAAGAACCTGGGTGATCAGACTCTCCAGTCCGGTTACACAACTACAACCACTGCTGAGGAGTTGGATAGACTGGGTCGAAGGGGGGGGGAGGGGTTGGTATTTTGAGGTTGACAACATGGCAACCTGAACTATGACTAGGAAAACCGGAATGAACTAAATTTAGTGATCCAAGTTACTTTTTCCTCCCACAGCCAGGACCTCAAGAGAACTGCTATAAAGCACCTAAATTCACTGCACCAAAAACCTTCCCTGGAAATTTGATGCTGCAGTTGGCCCAGCTAACCACTGCTAAGAGAACTTACTGTACTCTAGCCATCAAAATGAGAGCCTGGAAAATATTAAATTCATCATCTGTCCAAATCGATGCAATAAATGAGGATTAACTATATTTTTAACGGTTTCTTGCCCCCCCCCCTTTTTTTGTGAGGAAGATCAGCCCTGAGCTAACATCCATGCCAATCCTCTTCTTTTTGCTGAGGAAGACTGGCTAACATCTGTGCCCAACTTCCCCCACTTTATGTGGGACGCCGCCACAGCAAGGCCTGACAAGCGGTGCATTGGTGCGCGCCCGGGATGCGAACCCGGGCCACCAGCAGCGGAGTGCGTGCACTTGACTGCTATGCCATGGGGCCGGCCCCTGGTTTCTTGCCCTTTATATCTTCAAGAGAAAGACACATAATCCAAAAAGGGAAAGGAAAAAAAGCCATTCTTTGAATAGCTGATCCAAACTGTTTTCTAGTCTGAAAAAGGTAAAGATGGCCCTCTTTTCCTAGGACAAGTTTAAAACGCCTCAAACAAATTTGAGATGGGAGGAGAGGATCTATTAGATCCTTAGTCTATCCCTTTCCTAAGGATAAAATCTCTAGATACAGGACTTAAAACCTCAGTGAAGTAAAAGACACTGGGTGTATTAGTTTGCTAGGGTGGTCATAACAAAGTATCACAGATTAGGTGGCTTACACAACAGAAATTTATTTTCTCATAGTTCTGGAGGCTAGAAGTCTGAGACCAAGGTGATAGCATGGTTGGTTTCTTCTGAGGCCTCTCTCTCTGGCTTATAGATGGCCATCTTCTCCCTATGTCTTCATATGGTCTTCCTTTTGTACGTGTCTGTGTCCAAATTTTTTCTACTTATAAGGACACCAGTCACAATAAATTAGGGCTCATCCCAATGACTTCATTTGAACTTAATTACCTCTTTAAAAACCCTATCTCCAAAGACAGTCACATTCTGAGGTACTGGGGATTAGGACTTGAACATATGAATTTGGGAGGACCATAATTTGGCATATACACTGGGTGAATGCATTTTTAAAAACCGCTTATAGGTTATTAATCTTTTTTTTATGAGGAAGATTTGCCCTGAGCTAACATCTGTTGCCAGTCTTTCCTTTTTTTTTTTTTTTCTTTTGTTTGAGGAAGAGTAGCCCTGAGCTAACATCCATGCCAATCTTCCTCTACTTTGTACACAGGTCACCACCACAGCATGACTGATGAGTGGTGTAGGTCCGCGCCCAGGGTCTGAACCTGTGAACCCTGGGCCGCCACAGCGGAGTGTGCCAAACTTAACCACTACGCCATGGGGCCAGCCCCTAGATTATTAATCTTTACATCATTACAATTTAAAAATGATAGAAACTACTGAGAAGTAAACTTAGTAGACGCCATACTTATATAATGGGAACTTAATACTGCCCTTGGGAGAGAAAAAGTTAGGTTTTTATGCACCACCCACTTACCCATCCAGTATTCAGTGAGCACTCTCTGTGTGCCAAGCACTGAAGCTAAACAAGAGAGACGACCAGAAAAGTTGATCAGGAGCGGATGGTGAATAGCTCTGGGAGCCAGGCTATGGAAGTGAGACCTGATCTGATAGGCAACAAGAATGACACTAAAAGATTTTAAGG